GTAATATTCCAGTGGTTTCTAGTGCTTTCAACATGTCAAACTTAGTAAAGAAACATTAACAATAAAAGCAAAACAAAACTTTTATAAAAAAAATGTTTCATGGTGAAAGATAAAATAATAAAATACAATAATCTGAAGTGTTTTACTAGATTTCTACTACAAATTTCCAGCAAAATGCCATTACACAAATTACACATATCTTATAAATCCTGACAGAGCCCACCTGCACTTTTACACAGTTCACCAGCTTTTGGCCTTTTTCAGACAGCTCACATCTCCAGCCCTGGGGTGCAGTTAGCTAGAGGTGTAGGATGGACAGATGGTTTCACTCGTCCTTACAGGCTTTAGGGACCTCTCACCTTGCCCAGATCAGCTCACAGGAATGTAGCTAGAGGAGAGACAGCTGTGTTCTAGCTGCAGTGCGACTTTTACAACCAGCATCCTCTTTGATTCAGAGTTAAACAGGTGAGAGTATTCAATACTTATGGTTTTAAGATTAAATTGAGAGACACAAATTTAATAGGGGATAAAAGGAACTGTGTGTGAAACCTTGTAAAGTGGCAAGTGCCCAATGCCAATAAAAATTTGGTTTGGCTGAGTTACTGGTCTGTTGGACAGCAAAACTGCAAAACAATACATTCACCCAAGCCGTAGCATACTTGGACCTAAGCCATATCTAGGCCCAAAATATCATCTGGCATTTACATCTGGCATTTTCTATAAAGCAATCATGATCAGATCACACTTGACCACATTAAAAAAAACATTAAATAACTGTTGAGAAAGTGCATCAAAAATGTTTCTTCTCTTCACTAGAATGAATGACCAAAAGCATTTTGAATAATCTGTCGAAGTCAGGGATGTAAAAAGTACTGAAAAATTTTACTTAAGTGAAAATACAGATATTCAGTGAAACTTTTACTCAGAAGTAAGGAGATTCTTGTAATTGCATAGGAAAATAAATTGCATAAAATGCTTTGTCAGACAGACAGACATACAAAGATTTGGTTAAAGGGAGAAAACAAAACAAAATGCAACGGCACAGGTCAAAATACTCTATCTTAAAGGGATCCTCCGTCCTTTACACCCTCATATCATCCAATAAGTATATGACTTTACAGTACTTCTTCTGATAAAGATAAAAGAAGAGTTATAGAAAAAAAAAATCATCTCTCTGCATTTAATGCAAGTGTACCCTACACAGAGTGAACACGACGGTAATCCATATGACCCCAGTTGATGAATCAATGTCTTCTTAAGCGAAATGATAGGCATTAGATTAATGAGCAAATAATTATTTACATTAAAAAAATTCATTGACAATCCCAATCGTTACTCAGTATATCTATACACCTCAGTACTCAATACCATGTTAACATGAGCTGTTTCTCTGCTGCCTGACAATTTAAATTTGGATTATCAGAAGCAGGGTCAGGAATTAACAGAGCTTGGGGCAAAAATGTCCCCAAAATTAAAGATATAGGGACAAATATTTATAATATATGATCTTGTTAAACAATATCACACAAGCAAGAGTACTGTTTCCTCTGAATATCTGCACGATTGCCAATGTGATATTAATGTTATACGATTAATTTTATTTCTTACATTTTAGAAACAAAATTGTCTTGTTTTGCTCTATTTCACCAATGAAAATAGTTCCAAACAAAGCAAGAGCAGAACCGTTATTCATCTCAGAGAAAACCACAGAGCAGTGTTTCGTTAATGACTGAATCTGCGTTTATGTGTTAAGGAATCAGGTGAGTCGGTGATTCAATTATCCATTCATAAAGACAGTCACTTGCTTCATTCCTGAATGAATCAGCCATTATGAACAAATTGATTAATGGTTCACTGAAAAACTCACTTGCTGCCATCTACTGGTGGATTTAATTTCATATTTAAAGTAGCATTTTTTTTTTAAATCATCCCACATTTCTATATTCAACATTTTTAAAGCATTAATCTCACAACATTATGCAATTGTTATTGCACTGTAAATGCATTCATGCCACCTCTGAGCTGCATTAAGCAGTTGGTGTAAATATACCTTAATGTCATTTCAAAGCTTGTTTTCCATCTGTGCAATGTAAAGATGACTTGTTAATGCTGATTTAATTTGACTGATAAATGGTGATTTGAGTAAGAATTTTAACTAATTTATAAATTTACATTTACGAATTTGACATTAGATACATACATTTAATTAGGTTAGCAAAAAAAAAATGCTTTTACAAATGTAAAAAAAAAGAAAAGAAAAGAAAGTCACACAACCTGTTTTGTAACAAGTAGATTGTTACATTATCATTTTTGTGTAATCAAATAATACAAAAGTACAGTTTTATAGTCCGTATTAAATATTTATGGAAGGTACATTTTCTCAATTCAGGCAGTTGAACCAAAGAGTATTATGAATCTGGCTTATATGTCTGTATGCCCATGGTAGAGACTTTTGAAAGCAAATCCCTGCCGTAGGCTGTGGCAGAACTGCCTCAGGAACAGGTAATGTGCTAAGGATCGTTGGGTCAATATGTTACTGAGGAGATGAGAGGCGCAGAACCTTGGTGAGCCTGAGACATAGCGCAAAGCTGGGGGGAAAGCCCAGGGGGACCTACCTACCCAGGAGGGCCGTGACGTTCACTGACCGTGAAACTGACAAATGGCCAGTAAAGCAGCCGCAGCGGTGTGCATGCGCACTGACAAGCCAGCTGAGCTGCGTGACCATAGGCACACATGTGCACACTGAATTAAAGCTGTAATGCTAGCTTCCTGTCACACTCTGTAATGATACGGTACAAAAACACTCGTGGGCTGCCATGTTTAAAGCTTAAAACACTTCTAATTTAGTGACCTTTACTGTTTTACACACTCATCCCCTCTGGCACTTAGTAGATTATATACACCAATGCACAGACACATGCTCTTCTTACTGTACTCTTCTGGAAAAATATGTCACATCGTTTTGAGAGCTGTAGATTGTCCGACATGACGGGCACAAATCCTGCCTCCGGTTTCACAGCCACGGCCTTGGAGAGAGTCAAGGAGGAACGAAGCGAATTCAGACGATGCTATATCAATCTGCAGAGAGAGGAACAGGATGAATTACAGTACCACCTGTGGTTCTTCACAGATGTGTACAGGAAGCATCTTACAGCCATTAAACTGTCTGAGAAATGACTTTGACTCACCTCAATGGATCAGGTCTTGATACTCACTAATTAAAAGCTTCAGGGATCTATTTATAGGACAATTTACCCGATGCCATACAAGCTTTCAGCTTGTGACTCAGCTAATTTCAAGCAATGGCTCATGCAGTGTACAGTACACACACAGGATATTGTCCACTAGCTTGCTCAACTCTTGTTTTTTCGAATGCTTCATCACAGATAGAGAATCTCTTTTAAGCAGTTCTCTTATTCATTCATCTTAGTGCAAGATTAACAGTCGTGCTCCATTCGATTTTTCTTCCCTGTCTTCTGTCTTAAGTGTGAATTACTTCCCGAGATTCTTGAATGGATTAAATGAAATTGACAATTGAGTGTTTGATGCAGCAGTTCCTTATCATTGCCTAATCTTCTGTTCTGAAGTCAGCATAAAGTCTTATGAAACCTATTTACTTTCTTAATACATGTTTGTGGTCTTATTGAAAGCAATTTATCAGTTCACAGGGGGGAAAAAGATTCTTTGTAATCATAAATGAAAATGAAATAACTTAAAGTCTCAAAGAAGTTTTTGTTCGGCTGACATCATCTAGGCCACAGGATTTAGCCATTAGCTGAACAGCTATTTGTAGTCAAATACTGTAGCTACTGTACAGGCATTGTTTGCCTAACAACAGTTTTTTGCCTTGTTAAACTACTGTTGTAGATAGCATAACTATTCTAAAATATTACCAATAGTTATAGTTGCTGATGCCATTATTAAACATGAATGTGATACAGATTACAGCAATAGGAAATAATTATAAATTTAAAGGGATAGTTCACCCCAAAATTATATAGTTTACCCACCCTTAAGTTAAGCAAAGAAAAAGATATTTAAAATAAATATCAGTTGAAATGGAAAAAAAAGTCAATGTCTACCGCCAACTATTTTGTAACCAACATTCTTCAGAATATCTTCTTTTGTGTTCAGAAGGAACTGCACCCATACAGGTATGGAACAATGTAAGGGTGAGTAAATTTTGGGTGAACTATCTCTTTAAAAAAGACGCAGTAGCAATGGTATATGTGAAGATACTGTAGAGAAGGGATATGTGCTTATTGCTTGGTGTTAGTGGCCTTCATTATTATTATTTACAAAATTGTTATACATTAAAATTCTGTCACATTCTAGACTTGTAATTCTGCTAAGAACATGGTTGTCTAGCAGAGTCATAACCTTGATTGCAGACATATGGTGCAGTAGCTCCTCGGGCTTCCCGTGTTCGAGTCCCAGCTCATGCAGTGCCAACATGGATATGGCATGGACAAGAGACTCAGTTAAATTTAAGATAATTTTACAAGAATGAAACCTATTGCACATATGCAAATGAACTACGGTACATTATATAAGTATGTCCAAATTTATTTGCATACATAGTGTTGGGGAATATATACTAATATTATGTAGCATATCTCAACTGCTTGTATTTTTGCAAATTGTAAACTACTGTATATTATCTCCCAGCTCTAATCTGCTAAATATGACCGTAAGGCATGAAGATATTAAGATATTACAAACATGAATATCATGATTTTCTGTAAAGCTGCTAAGAAACAATGTGTATTGTGAAAAGTGCTAAATAAATGTGATTTGACTTGGCATGAATGCAAACTTACCGTCAGGTCGGGCTCTATTATAGAATGAAACACCCACTTTTCATGATCAAGTCAAGTAATTTCTTGTTGAATATCTTGTTTTACTTTTATATACATCACATTACAACAGTAAAATGGGTTGCAAATACTGTTTCATGCTGACTTGAAAGCTCTCTCTTTATCTATTCCTCATCTACATAGATTAACCATCCATGCTGAGTGCCCTATGCATCTGGAGGATTTTCCTATGGATGCCCATGCCTGCCCGCTGAAGTTCGGAAGCTGTAAGTTATTCTCTGTTGTCGTCATTGAATTTTTCTAGATTGTGTAAGTGACAGCTGCTCAGGTTCTCTGGAGTATTTTATAAGTATATTGACATGCATGTTGCCTTGTGCGCATGTACCCTGCACTCTTAGCTCGGTCATGAGCTTGACATCGAAATCTGTGTAACATACTGAACTGGATCAGGTGGGTGCAGGTTGAGCATCTAACTGCCTATGACAACAGACAGACTCTTGTTTGTCTTAAAGACAGTCCAGATCAGAAAAAAATTTTTAGTAGCTTATCTTCTAGACACAGCTCAGAGAACCCAATAACACAGTGTCTTTCTCCACAACTCAGAATGGTACGTAATGTCACACCTGACACTGATTACCCATCTGTGTTTGCACCTAACAGTAAACAACATCTATCCAAGACAGCATTGTCATTAGAATACAACATAAATCCCCAAAGGCAGACCAAAAAAAATGGAACTTGTTTCTTCTGTGTGGAGTCACCAGTCCTAAAACAAACAAATGTTTCGTAATTCTCCTCCTGTGCCGAGCTTTAGATTAATAGCCCAGCCAATGACACCAAAGGTCACCATGATGCAGCAGTCACACCTTTATGAATAAAACATCCCACTGGGCAATAAAACAAAAGTCCTCTGCTCATACATTTTCAGTAGTACCTTTTTACCCCCATAATACCTCTTTTTGACAGGCGCAGAATGGTGACCCCTCATTGGTTCTGTGATTCATGCTGCAGAAAGACAGCAAAGAATTGGCTCTTTAACAAGATATCATACAGTGGGCTGCATAATTAGTGGCCTTGTTTTTTTTTGTTCCCGACATATTTCAATTACAAACTTGTATGTCTGTTTGTATCTTTAAATATTTGTCAATATTTGTTTCAAGGCATGTTTTCCCACAATTTGGGTTGATTTTGATTTTGTTTTTGCATTGCTGGAGAAATGTTATCATTAATATTAATAACAGCTTGTTTATTCTCTTTAAACCAAGCTGAGCACATCTTCAGCTACTGTATAATGAACGTGATATGATGAATAGCTCAAAATATCAATTTATATATTATATATATATATATATATATATATATATTATTATTATAATTATTATTTTTATTTTTTATTCTTTTGTCAAATAGACTATGATTTTCTGGTGCTAATTAACTGGTAATTGTCCAAATACATACTGATTTTGGTATTACAGTGCCAGAAGTGCCTGTAAAAATAATTATTATGCGCCGCTCTGGAATACTTAATTGTAATTGGTCAGTAGTGGCAACCAGTGTCTCTTATATCACTCTACGATCTCTTTCCAATATTAGAAATTATTCTGATTTAAATTCAGATTAATTTGTGAGTATTTCTGTCAAATTCATAAAAAGAATATGCTCACAGAAGTAGTTTGATCATGAATCAGACACAATGTATATTTGAAGAGTTTAGATGCAAAAGCCTCTAAGTATATCTGACATTTTTCTTTAAAATTAGCATTTCTTTCTGGATACTATGTATAGGTTTCTATTTAAGTAATGGTATTTCTGAATGGGTTGAGGCTGGGATTTAGCGCATTTGAAGTGAAAGTACTTGATAAACATATACTATGTGTGGAGAGCAATCACTCAGTATTGTTATCTCATTTTTGACCAAGATGGCTTTTAGAGGCTTTTGCATTGGAACTCTTCATTTGGTTGTGTGTGCAAACATGAAGGACATCACGATAGAAAGACATGTTGTCTATTTACTGTCTTTACATTTTTTAGCATCGCATGATTGCTTGTAGTTTGGTGTTCTGTCTGCTTTGGCAAAATGGACCATTAACATGAACGGCATAAAAAATCATCTTGATTATCAACCGCATACTTATTTTTTCTTCTGCTTATTTCTTTTCCATTATTTGGTCTGGTAAACAGGTAAAAGGTTAATTTCACCCCAGCAGAACGAGTGCCCGGCTTTTGTATGACTGCCAGCCATAATGATTTATAATTTGAGGCTAACGCATAATGGCCAAGCGAGTAGAGATCTAAAAACACATACAAGCTCCTCATTCCCTCGTTAATCAGCTACTCGTTTTAGATACTCATTTTACATTAAACAACCACTTGAAGTGTGTGTGTGTGTGTGTGTGTGTGTGTGTGTGTTTTGGGCAGTGATATTTAACACAGGAAACACTCTATTGAGATATATAGACTATTATTGGACTGTTAATCAAATTATAGCAAGGTCGTTCGCATGAAAACAGTGATAGAAAATGATATTCAATTAAATATTTCCTTCTCCTATCCCATTTAAATTGCTTCTAATTCATCCTCTCATGTTCTATTATCTTTCTCTCTCCCATCCCCTTATTAATTGAGTTTTAGGCCAGGCGCTAAATTTAAGACTTTCCTTGTAATGTGCCGAAAGTCTGTGACACCACTGACCTTTTCAGCCCATAGCCGTTTCTTGCAAGCAAGACTCCCTGTAAATAAGAACCGATGCCAGTGTCATACAATTTAAATATATATTTAAAGATGGAATCATGCATTTCATTGTCAATTAGTATTCATAATGGATAAAGTGGCATTAAACTTGATGTGTTCAGCTTTTGATTAATGATCTTCGAATGGAATAAAACAATAACGTTTCTCTGTGGCCATCAAAATTTAATTAGCAAACCTCTGCCGGCTGTGTGAATTATGTTTCTAGTGTTAAGCCTGCCAGCTTTTTTCCCGCTCTCTTGCTCACAGTCATGTGGGCGCACGTGTCTGCATATGTGCGTTGTTTGTTTCTGTGCACGGACCCCAAGATAATTGATTTTCATGCTCTTTTGCAAAGTTCATCCTTGTGTATTCAAACACAATAAGTATTGTGTTACGTTTCCCTATTATATACATTAGATTTAAGGAAGCCGCTAAACGGAAGGGAGCAGTGGACCCATGATTAGTCCGCTTTTATTAAAGTTGCATTCCAATTTCCCTCATTGAGATGCATTTATTCACTTTACTGCCCCCACCGCCCCGCCCCGTCCCGTCCCGTCCCGCCTCGCCTCGCCTCGCATCGCCTATTTTATCATGAGCCCTGTTTTGTTCTAAAGTATGAATTTTCAATTGGTGTTTTTCCAACCCAGTGACTATGTCATTAATGGAAATAGAAGGATTCTCTCAGAAGGCAAACAGACCAGTAAAATGTGGAATCTTTGTGTTAAAAAAAACACGTTCATGCAAAAAAAGATGCACGTTCGTTATCAGTATCTTAATTCTACAAACTTTTAGTTTAAATAATATTTTGTAAAATAGGTTGAATTATAATTTATGCACTGCACACACCACAATATTTTTTGATGTGCAAATAAATACTAGCCAAAACAAAATCCAAATATTGGTTTGTAAATGGTAAAAATGATCAGCATTGCAATTGTTTCTAAATCTCTCTCAGATGCCTACACCAACAATGAGGTTGTCTATATCTGGACAGCGGATGATGAGAAATCTGTTTCTGTGGCTCCTGATGGTTCTAGACTCAACCAGTATGACCTGCTGGGCCATGTCATTGGCAAAGAGACCATCAGCTCCAGTACAGGTAATTACATTTATCGTTTGTGCCAGGGGAATTGATTACTTAGTGAAGTTAAAGCAGCCAAAAAGTGCTAATGAAGGTGATTATAATCTAGGCAAATGGTAGACAATTATTTTTTTTAACTTATGACATAATTTCCAACATTGCATTTCTATTATTTAATAGTTTTAATGCGTCATTTACTATTATGTCTATTATTTACTAATATATACACACCCATATATATATATATATCATAGTATTACATAATAGTAAATGATGCATTGACAAAAAAGAGTGCATAATCAGTTGCTAAAAGCAGCATTTTCAGACCTGGTTCTACTGTATAACATGTTGGACCAAGCAAAAGTGAAGCGAGCCAAGAGACTGAGACTGTTTCAATAATGATGCAGTTATGATATTCTGATGAATTGATATATCAGTTGGATTTATACGGAGTTACAGCATATGTATCACATTGCATATCATGGTAATTGTCAATATCCAACTTATTTTCCATTTTATACACCACCAAATCTCCTGTATTTACACTGAATGCTATGCAGTCAGCCTTTTAAAAGGTATCCGTGAAGGATATGAAAAACATCTGCCTTCCTTTGTTTATCAGTATTTGAGGCATAGTTGCAGATTCATGCTGGATATTGAAAACCTCTCTTGCTCTTTAACACAGTTTATTTACAGTATATGCATGAGTCTGTAATATTCTCCTGTACATAGCCTTCCCTTTATGAAATCTCTCTCTTTGCAACTGACAACCTGAATTAATTAATTTAGCTTGCTTTCCACATGCTTCTTTTCTTTCTTCCAGCTTCAACATATGCTTACAAATTCAATTTGTGTCTGTTTGTAAAGTGATTTATCTAACCTGCTTTGCAAGCACCTAGCTTATTGATTGCTTTCTGCCACAGTTATTGGGGTCATACAGCCTCTGTGAAGCAGGAAGGACTCAAACAAGTATGAGTGCACAAGAAAAGTGTGTATGCTCAATAAGACAATGTGCTCGTCAAAATAAGAGATGAAATTGACCCCAAGTCCACATTATTTGTGTTGCACTTCTTCTAAATCCAGTGCAAAGGAAATCAGACATATATATATAATGTCCAAAACTCCATCGGTGACAAAAATGGAGAAAAAAACCTTGGGAGAAACCAGGCTCAGTCGGGGGGCCAGTTCTCCTCTGACCAGACGATACCAGCATGGTGTGGTTTAATTCCAGGCTGCAACACAAGTCAGATTGTGCAGAGGACTCGTCTAGTTCTCGTGGTCTTGTGCCGATGGTCGACGAGGTCTTCACAGGGATAGTATGTGATAGTATCTTTCTCTAGGGTTCATCTAGTTGACATGGTCTCCGCTGACATTCAGGGCTGTAGAGGTCGTCTCTAGGTGCTGATCCATCATTTGGACTGGATACGGACTGAATCCTTGTGACTGCAGTGACCATCTGATCTGGAAACAGACTGGATCTGGGTGGCTAAGGTGACCTCGGAATAAGAATAAAACAGACTAATATTAGCGTAGATGCCATTCTTCTTACGATGTAACAAGTACATTGGGTGTTATGGGAAGTGTTCCCGGTTCCGGTTGACCTAATTAATGCAGCCTAACAATCCTTTAACAGATCTGAATTATAGAAAAGTGATCGTGTGTTATGTCTATGCCAGGTTAAAGAGATGGGTCTTTAATCTAGATTTAAACTGACAGAGTGTGTCTGCCTGAGTTTGGGGGCTAAATAGGACAAGGATCTGCTGCCCGCAGTTGATTTTGATATATTAGGTATTATCAAATGGCCAGAGTTTTGAGATTGCAGTGGACGTGAAGGACTATAATGTGATATGAGCTCGCTCAAGCACTGAGGAGCTAAACCATTCAGGGCTTTATAAGTAATTAGCAAGATTTTAAAATGTATATGATGATTAATAGGGAGCCAGTGCAGTGTTGACAGAACCGAGCTAATATGGTGATACTTCCTGGTTCTAGAACTCTAGCTGCTGCATTTGGGATCAGCTGGAGTTTGTTTATTAAAGGTGACATTGGATGAACACAAGTTTCACAAGCTGTCATGTTTCTTAAGGGTATTTCTGAAATGTCTGTAAATTTTTTTGGTTAAAATTTATCAGCAGTTGTGAAAAAAAATACCCTTTTTACCTTGTCAAAACCAGCTCTGTTCACAGTGACCCGTTTTGGTGCATGTCTCTTTAAATGCTAAAGATAGCATAGCTTGTCTGTATGAATGTTAGTATATGTGCTTGTGTTAGTATGTTTATCTGGGGCAGTGCTAACAATAATGTGGAAAGTTTTCTCATTTTGCCGCACGTGCTAGCGTTGGAGTAGCCAATTTACTGTCAAACAGCAAATGGAGAAAATATTACTGATAGCTTTCCCCGCAGCTAAACATACTAGTGCATACACTAACATTCATACAGACATAACATTCATACTGTTTTGTTTTTAACAAATGTTGATATGGTTCACCCTCTTTACCACATGCTAGGTTTCACGTCTTACGTCAATTTAGAGTGCTGATAACAGCAAAATCATCTTTCAGACCTAAGCTATCAAATGAATAACGTTAGCCAACCGTGGACTTTTACTTTCACAAATTCCTATAAAAAAACTAGCTAGTTATGTCAAAACCGGCACCAAATTGAAACAGGTCGCTGGATAACACATTTTAAAACTCAAACAGTTTACAACAAACTAGCTGCATGTTTTCTTTTTTTAGCTTTTCTGAGCTGACAGACACCGCAGAAACCTAACTAAATGCAAAAAAATCTACAAAAGTGAACATTCCATCCGATGTCACCTTTAAGCGCGCAGAGCAACCACCCAATAAAGCATTACAATAATCTAACCTTGAGGTCATAAACACATTAATTAACATTTCTGCATTTGACATTGGCGCATAGGTCATAATTTAGATATATTTTTAAGATGGAAAAAATGCGGCTTTACAAATGCTAGAAACAGAACTTTCAAAGGAAAGGTTGCTATCAAATAGCACACCTAGGTTTCTAACTGATGACGAAGAATTGACAGCGCAGCCATCAAGTGTTCGACATTGTTTAGGATTTTGGTCCGATAATTAACACCTGTTTTTTTGGGGGGGTTTTTTTCCAGAATTTAGCAGTAGGAACTTACTAGTCATCCAATTTTTTTATATCAGTTATGCATTCTATTCGTTTTGAGAATCGGTCTGTTTCGTTGGGCCGTAAGGAAATATAGAGCTGAGTATCATCAGCATAACAGTGAAAGCTCACAAGACAGAGCCTCTATAGTATGATATCTAGGTGAAAGAGTCTCTATATGTTGAGAATTAACTGACTTCTGTGACATGAGGCGGCTAGCAGATGGTCAGTTTAGATAGTCTGTCTGCTTCTTGACCTGGGCCCCAGTTAGTCAAGTACAAACTCTAAGACTATGTGCCATATTTCTAGAGAGAAGTGCGGCACCACCCCTGGATGGGTGAAGACCGTCTCTTTTCAACTGGTCAGGTCTGCCCCAAAAACTTGTCCAATTGTCTATGAAACCTATGTTATTCTGCGGGCACCACTTAGACATCCAGCCATTGAGTGACGATAGACTGCTATGTATCTCGTCACCATGGTAGGCATGGAGGGGACCAGAGCATATTACAGTGTCTGACATCGTACTTGCAAGTTCACACACCTCTTTAATGTTATTTTTAGTGATCTCCGACTGGCAAAGTCAAACATCATTAGTGCCGACGTGAATAACAATCTTACTGAATTTACATTTAGCATTAGCCAGCATTTTTAAATTTGCCGAGATGTCAGGTGTTCTGGCTCCTGGTAAACATTGGAATATGGTGTTTGGTGTCTCTATTTTCACATTCCGTACTATAGAGTCGCCAATAACTAAGGCACCTTCATCATGTTTCTCAGTGGGTGCATCACTGAGTGGGGAGAACCTGTTTAAAGTTTTAATCAGAATGTAAAGGCGGTGTTTTGTCCCGCGACTATGCCGCCTCACAGTCACCCAGTCTCCCTGCTGCGGGGGCTCTGCAACCGGAACCGAACAATGTACGGGACTCGCTAAGCAAGTCGTATTCAAAGCCACATCTAAGGCTTTTACATTCTTACTATCCTCAAATAAAGTTTGGATGTGTGTCTGTAGTTCTGAAAACTTCTCTGTCAGCCTAACTATTTCCCTGCATTTATCACATGTGAATCCCTCGCCGCTGACAGGGAAGGCTACACTAAAACATAATATAATGTAACTAATAAATGGCTGATTTTAGCCATCATCATGATGTAGTTCCTGCATCTGTTGCCTCTTGGGCCTCTCCAATCACAAGCAGGAGATAATTAACATTTTAAGCCCATGAAAGGACTGGGGGCGCTGTTCCATACAATGTATAAAAACAGTAAAAGTGAAAAATAAAAGTCTGATTTTAAGTCAGATAAAACTGATTAAAATTAATGAATATGAGTGTAAAGTACATTCTCATCGAAATAAAAAAAAACTATGAATATAACAAAAATATTTAAATAAAAATAAGAATTGGCAGACTGGCAGTTACAGTGGGAAGTAAAAGTAAGAAGTAATGAATCCTAAATAGACAAAATATTAATTCCAAGACTACTGCTTTCTTCAGTAAAGACAGAATTACTAATGTAGCATTAAAGTTGAGCAGAAAAGATGCCTTACATTTAATAACAGTCAGCTTGCATCCTGATTATATTATATATTATGTTAATAGGGTTAGGATTATTCATAGAACTGTTTATAGGGCTTTTTGTGATTGCAATTAAGATTGTTGTCTAAAAAAATATATAATGTATATAAAGACCTTGTTGCATCAGATGCAGCTTCTGTCATCTTAGTTGTGTAAATACTGCTTAAAAATAGAGTAACAATTCTATTTATGAATATATTTGAGCGGTCAATTTAACACATTCATTTAGTGTTTAATTATATACATTAAAAATATATATATATATTATATATATATGTAATAAATAATCCGTATGCAAAATTCCTTAAGAATTTTCCTTTCTTCTGTTTATTGGGGCATTCCATAGGTGTAATAGTTTTTATACTGTACAAACTGTATTTTCTATCCCCTTACCCTACCCCTAACCCTAAACCTACATTTGTATTTTTAGACTTTCAAAAAACTCTGGTGTTAAAAATCTTTATGAGTTATTAGCTGTTTTCCTCGTGGAGAAAAAAAAACTTTGTCCCCAGAAGGTCAAAAATGACTGGTATTACTATCCTTGTAGGGATATTTGGTCCCCATAATGTAAGGAATACCAGGACCACTACCCCCTCACTATAAAGACATGTTTAAAAATCTGTTTGTATGCCAGATGAGACACCTATTTTACTGTCCCCCCTCAGCTGAAATGGAAAAGACAAATTATCCAGTGTTTGTTTTTAAGGCACCAGAAGCATGTGTTTATTTTTCATTTTGTCATTTTAATTGTCCTCTGCTCTGCCTCCCAGTGCCAGGAGAGAATGCTAACTCAGTTGAAAATTGCTTTTTCCACAGAGATTAGAATTTCAACCTCAGGTCTTGTTAAAGGAATATTTTATACACCTAAAAATTAAAATTCTGTCATCAGAAGAATATACTTTACAGAATGCCAGGGGTTTTCTTTTTTAGAATGAGAACTGATAATGAAAATTGCACATTGCCAAATTTGGTGTGCACCAGTTTTCATGACAGTGAAACCAGAAGGCATTGGTTCTCAAGTGTCTTGTAACTGAACGCAACAACTTTGAATATGTTTGTTTGTTTTTGGCTTTGGTACACAAGCACAATTTCAAAATTCTTAGAATAAATATCCAAACTGATTACAGTCTGCCATTCTTTCAAAACCAGATCTCATGTTTTCATTCCAGTTGGACATGTAATTTTAAAGAATGATTATATGGGAAAAAATAAGATCATTGCAATATGTAATGAAAGCATTTAATATAATCAATTTAATCTTCAATTTAGTACATTTAACAATCAGTTCATTTATAGCAAACAATGCAAAGATGCACATTTCAAATCAGCCTTTTTACTGAATTAAACATGTTACAGTAATGCAAGCTACAGCTGTCACATTAGAAAATAGACTTATATTACCTAACTTACATTATTGACATAATTCCATAATGCCGTGAGGCTTTGTGCTAGAAAATAATTTGCTACAAAAAATATATATATATTCTTATTGTACCATATGATTGAATCTATAATGTAGCTGACCTTTTCAGATGAATGGTAAATTTACAGTAATTTGGTAGTTACTACATTGGTAAGGCCTCTGTTTACAGTATCACATGGTAAAGCATAATGCCTGTGTTTGATACAACAGGTACCTTCCACCTTTTTCCCTCCTTCTGATGCATCTCTGAAGAAGTTGATAGTTGTACAATTATTCATTGTTTCATCCCTCTTGTACTACATCCTTTTCTGTTCACATATTCCAAATGTTCCTTCTCTCTCACTAACTTACACACAGACACTCTGAACCTTGTGGTTATCGTGTGATATAAAATTATTTATATGTAACAAGAATTCATTATATCTGGTTATTCATTTCGGTAGTTGAACATCTCAGCAGTTTCTTCCAGACCGCAATGAGAAGAAATGGAGAGAAAATAGAGACTTTTGCATAAGTCTCCTACTTCTCCTGATCTATAATAGACCAGCCACTGAGTAATACGATTTCCTTTCTTTTGATTTCTGTGTAAAGTCAAAATTTTGAACAAACATTATATGACTTCAGAAGTGCAAATTGGCCATCCCACCTCCGATTTTAAAGACATAATTGCAGCCCTTCAAGCTCTATCAGACCTCCATAGAGAACTAAATGGTAGGGCTTTCAGATCGAGCGATTGTCTGTCACCTCGTTCCCGCTGTTAAGGTTAGAACATCTAATCTGCCCCAACCATGCTGGGAAAACACTTGAATCCTACTCCGTCGTTGGTGCTGTGATATACAAGAACCAATCAATTAAACATCCTCTCCAACACAAGACCCCCACTTCCGATATCTTAGTTGCTCTGCCTACATGATCATGCATAAATAGAATTCTGAATATTTTAGTCTATGTGTTGTCTCATCAAAAATTCATCTCTCTTATGGTCTCTCTCTTCTCTTTTCTTATACAGGAGAATATGTGGTGATGACAACATATTTCCATTTGAAAAGGAAAATTGGATATTTTGTGATCCAGACGTATCTCCCCTGCATAATGACCGTCATTCTGTCTCAGGTCTCCTTCTGGCTGAACCGGGAGTCCGTTCCAGCACGTACCGTCTTCGGTGAGCTTTTCTTCCTTATTGTTTACTAATGCACAGATGTGCTCTGCGAGTAAACCAGCAAATAATCCATCCAACGTAGAGCTGCTGTTTACACTCTGAGACTACATCAAACCTGTGCCTTATATTTGTAGAGATGCTTTTGTTTTTATCTACCATTATGAAACAACAGGAAGCATTCAGTAAACAAGAGCACCAGGGATTATTTGAAAAATTTGTCTTCTCTTTGAAAGTTTACCAGGTACATTTTCTGAGAAGTCCTAAACCTGGATAGTGATGGATTCTGTTTTGAAACAGTGTAATTAACACAGCCACCACCTAAGCACCTAATTAATTACAGATTAGATGGACCTAAACCTGGAGTCAAATGAAGTAAAAAAATGCTGACAAGACAGGAAAGGAAAAGATAACATACTCGGTTACTAACGTAACCTCAGTTCCCTGAGATACGGGAATGAGTAGTGTGTCTGCTAAGACGCTATGGGGAAAACTCCTTTTTCTTCGAATACTGAAGCCTTTCAATAACGCAGTGTAACTGCAGGGCCATTGGTTCATGCAGTGAATTAAAAAACGAACCAATGGCTCGGCAGCGGAGCTGCACGAGCCTATGGTGACGAAGCCCGCTAGAATGGGCGGGGCATCTGGCTATATAAGCGGTACTTCGCCATAGGATCCTCAGGTTACTTCGACTGAAGCGACAACTGAGTCGTGCAGCTACATAGCACAGCCAGCAACGCAGTACTCGTTCCTGTATCTCAGGGAACCGAGGTTACGTTAGTAACCGAGTAAGTTCCCTATCGACACTTCACTTATACTGCGTCTGCTAAGACGCTATGGGGAACCAGTACAATCCTGCCATGCTATGCTAGAGGAACGACTAATACTTGAACTTGCCTTGAGCACCAATGGGGCCCAGAGGGACCAAGTATTTTGCAGGGAAGCCCCGCAGGAGGTGATAGGGCCAAACTCACAGAGGTCGGCCCGGCTCTGAGTAATCGTTCCAAGATAAATTGTACAGCCTCGGTGAAGAAGGCAAACGCCTGAAGCACTGGTTTTGCCATATGGCCAGAGTAAGTCTGTTTAAGCAGAAAGGACCCGAGCCTGTAAGGCCGGGACGTCCAGATTATAAAATCTGGTAAATGTGGACGGCGGGGCCCAGCCGGCAAATTTCTGCAATGGACACACCGCTAGACCAAGCACAGGAAGAGGCAACGCTTCTTGTTGAGTGGGCTCTTACTCCCATGTGGCATTGTAGGCCCAAAGAAGAGTATGCTAGCTTGATAGTGTCAATTATCCATTTGGAAAGTCTCTGCTTCATGACCGGAGACCCTCTGGTACGGCCACCGAAGCATACAAAAAGCTGTTCCAACTGCCTGAACAGGGCAGAACGCTCAATATATATTCTCAATGCCCTGACAGTGGACGAGTGGAGAAGGCGTTCCGTCTCAGTGAGCGTGCAGTCTCTGCGTGGGGGCTGCCCAGACAGGCGACGCACTCACTGTCCTTTTGCATTGTGCAGGATTCCCTGCACGAGCCACACTCACAGCGCGACATTTGCAACAACGTCGCTAGAAATTTTGCTCCTTTAGAACTTACCTATATCACCTATATCACCCTGTAGCCCAAGGGTGATATAGGTGATATAGTGAAGTAGTATATCAAGGGTGATATAGGTGATATATGTAACCCTGTAAAATCCTAGGATGTCCTTCGAAAAAGAGTAGGGGTGTAACCCCGGTATCCTGGCTAAATTTGCCCATTGGCCTCTGACCATCATGGCCTCCTAATCATCCCCATATCTGCTGATTGGCTTCATCACTCTGTCTCCTCTCCACCAATAAGCTGGTGTGTGGTGGGCGTTCTGGCGCAATATGGCTGCCGTCGCATCATCCAGGTGGATGCTGCACACTGGTGGTGGTTGAGGAGATTCCCCCGCTTTCATGTAAAGCGCTTTGAGTACCCAGAAAAGCGCTATATAAATGTAACTAATTATTATTATTATTATTTTATTATTATTACCTCTTAGAAATAAGCTCTTTTAGGCTCACCTGGTGGCGGCAGGGGATCAGCTGGGACCGCTGCTGCTGCGACACTGAAGGCAGCGGAGAAGCGGCAAATCAGCCGAGCAGAGGGTCGCTGGTTCAGCTTGATCCGCTGCAAAGGCGATTCTACGGCGAGAGGCTTCGAGTCTTGTAGATCAGCGAAGAACATCGTCGTCACTGAAGGAGAAGAAATCTGAGGATCCTATGGCGAAGTGCCGCTTATATAACCAGATGCCCCGCCCATTCTGGCGGGCTCTGGCAGTTTTCGTCACCATAGGCTCGTGCAGCTCCGCTGCTGAGCCATTGGTTCAGGACAACACCAGACAAAGAACGTGAAAAACACTGGGTTTTAAATATACAAGATAACACGGGGTGAAACAAGGAACAGGTGAACATGATGTTGCTTTGGAGATTAATGAGGGCAACTATAGAAACAGACCTTGGACTAATAAAACAAGGCAATCATAAGAAGTAAAACCATGAACAGGAACTACATATCAAAATAAGAGTCCTAAGACACAAAATGGGGAAACACGAAACATGAATCATAACAAATATATTTTATTAATGTCTTACTGGTATTAAAAATGTCAGTAAGCACAGTATTCTACTGTTTCTTATGTAGTTAAGACTCAATATTGATTACAGACCACCCACTTAAAAAGAGAATTCAGTATGAAACACCTAAGTGCAGAGCTTTTTAGAAATCTAACATTGTCTAAATTATAGGTCAGTGGTTTTCAATCCTGGTCCTCGGCACCCACAGCACTGCACATTTTTTTATGTCTCTCTTATTAAACAAACCTGATACAGATCATCAAATCATTAGAAGTGAGATCCATGAATTGAACTGATTGTGTCAGAGAAGAGAGACATACAAAATGTTTAGTGCTCTGGGTCCCGAGGACCAGGATTGAAAGCCACTGTTATAAGGTATTATTGTATGTAAAGAAGAAGGTCCCATAAGAAGGTCGGTGAAAAAAAAATCACCCACGATGGCAGCTTAATTGAGAAAAATGCTGGATTTTAAACTTTATTCTACTTTACAAAAAATAAAAAAAGAGCACAATATTTGTATACTATGTATTTTCTTGTGTTCTGACAATTAAAGCTATTAGGTTGACGAGTTGCTGTCTGTAAGTGGTCATTTCTATTAAGATGTCACCTTTGCAAAGCTGCTTATGCAAACCGTGAAAAGCAAGTCATTGTTACAAACACAGTTTTGAGTGCTGTTGTAAACCTGGTTCCTTTTCATATCTTCACTCAACTCTGCGTCAGTAACTGTAATACAATCTCCCAGATGAGATGATTGACTGAAACCCGTATAGAAACATGCCAGTTCATTGTCTGATGGTGCCAACTCCTCTGTCTTGAGGCACCACATCACCTGTGCCGCACCCGTGCCAACAATCCTCAGATTTATCTTCTTAAGGAAACCAGAGGACCGTTTCAGAAAGGAGGTTAAGTGAAAACTCTGAGTATGTTAACTCTGAAATGAGGGAAACTCTGGGTTTTCCGTTTCAGAATGGAGGGTTTGTCAAACCTAAGGAAGCAGGGTAAGTCAAGCCCGTTTCTGAAAGAGAGGTAACTTATACTCAGAGTCAGTTACCATGGTAATTTACTCTGTGAACCTAACCTGGTTTTCTCCGTTATACCCAGAGTTTCTTTTGGTCTCCTCCCCCTTTTTAAAGCACAAACGATGTTTAAATACCTCATTCATTCATTCATTCACGCTGCAAAAATGTTTTTCTTACTTAGTATTTTGGAATCTAAATTAAGTGCATTTTACTTAAAACAAGAAAAATAATCTTAATGCAAATGGAAACAAGATTATTTTTCTTACCCCATTGGCAGATAATTAGCAAAATAAGAAAAATACACTTAAAAGACTAAATACCTGTCATTTTTCTTATGTAGAAAATGCATCTTGGTTTAAGAATCTTTAGATATTTTGACTGGAGTAAGAAAAGCATTTTTTTATTTTTTTTTGCAGTGCAGGTACATTCATTCATTGCATATATTTTCATCATCCGGACACTCTGAACGTGATAAAAACGGCATGTCCTCTTTTACTGAATCCTGTAGATGAGGAGGCTACATTAATTCATAGGGAGTTACATTTACATCCCAGACATACAGAGGATTATTTAGATTTTTTTTGCCATATCCACATGCATATTTATTTGAGTGGTGCCATTTTAAATGGTAGTTTTCTATATAACATCTGGGATGCAGAGCACATTAGTAAGGCCGCTGTATGCAGAGCGGTAAGGAAAGTGTGCCTTGCTCTCACGCTCTTTCTTATGATATTTGTGTAGTTTCTTTGGCACAAACTCATAGAAAATAAAGCTTTATTTAAAAAATTAAAAAATAGAAAATTAAAGCTTACTTTATGGAATGGAAGGATGCCAGATGGAAGGGCAGTTCGAGATATATGCCATCACCACCACCACAGCTGTTAAATTTATTTGGTCATTTTTATTTCCTACAAATACAAAAGCAACAGTTATTCTTTTTCCTGTTGGATTTTAATATTCTTCCATTACTTGGTATTGTGGCCATCTCCTCTTCATCTGTTCTTCATTATTTTGCAAGCCTTCTTGCTGTTGGCTGAGTAGAAGTCAAATGTTAATTTCATTACTCTAATTAAGAAATGCAAGAGTTTGGATGAGAGAACATTTAATTATGAAAGGAGCATTAGACGTTGTGGAAAAAGCTGCTACACTTTGAAATAAACACTGAATGATATTTATTTAATATGTCAAACGTTTGTAAAGTCATGTAGCTGTCATGTGTATGTTCCTTTTTGCCCTTATTTGGTTCTTCCTGTGTCCTGTCCTCATTGGTTATCATTTGTGTCCAGCTGTGTTTCATTAATTAGTTTATTTGATTCCAGGTGTGTCTCGTTCCTCCCTGATTATCCTGTGTTTAAAAGCCCCAGTCCATTCGGTTAATGTTTGT